CCCCCCCCCCCCCCCCCCCTCCGCGTCTCCCTCCTTTCTGACACGCATCAACGATTCCCACTTGAATCACAACATACCCTGTCGGTACACGGCAGTCAAGACTGAAGGCCCGGCAAGCCACAACGATGAAATTTCGCTCGATTTGGGTTCGGCTACACTCGATCCGTCAACATAGTGATATCCCATATGCATACTGTAGTTCAACATGGTGTTATTCCATACGCATACTGTAGTTTGAAGGATAAATCATTTCGCTAGGCGACCTTGGCCGCTTTTGGCTTTCTACCGCAGGTCAGGCTAGCCGCCACCTTTTTCACGATCAAGAACATCCAGGCCACCTGCCGCGCCATTCCGTCCCACACCATTTCGTGTCGTCCCGTGGCGTGTGATATCGTTCCGGTTGTGTTGCCGCGAGCCCCGTGGAATCCGGCGCAAAATTACAACGGTGAGGTGAAAATAAAGAAAATGACGCAAATGACAAACGGGTCGGAAGAGGAGCCGGGAGAGCAACGTTATGAGTTACGAGGACATACATCAAAAGCAGGGTAGCAGCAATGGTATCGGGCGTAGAGGTGCTGTCTTCTGTACGATCGCATCGTGTGCTGTCTTCGGTACTACTGCAATCGTGGGCAGCCTTCACGATAGCAAGAAGAGAACAAATGCTCTCGAACGATCAAAACACGCATGCGATGCCGCGAGTGACTTGGATCACCTGTAGGAGCTGGTAGGGTGCGGCGATGGCCATGAAGCCACTAAAGGTGCAATGGCTCCACGAGTACGGTACGAGGTACATGAAGTTGAACACGATCCGGCTGGGTCACGAAACAAACGAAGCACAGACAACAAGGGCGAAGAGCGAAAAAGAGAGAAAGACAGGAACAGATACATATACAAACAGACAGACAAACAGACAAACAAGACAGACAGCGAGTCCGACGGTCGGTGTCTAGGAAAACAGGCGCACGATTCAGGTCGTGCGAACACTCCGGATGCAGCAGTTGCACCGAAGACAAGCGAAGACGGCGGCAATTTCCAATGAATTTTCTGAAACCAAAGGCAGGGTGAAGTAAATAAAAACACAACACAAGAGACCAAAATGCACCCATGGTAGCAAGTCGAAGACACGACAGTACAACCAACAACACGGCAACCTTCGACTCCTTGACAGAATCAGTGCCATAGGACGACAGTGCGGTGTTCAGCAGACGGACTCGCCCACGCCAACATTTCATGCCGACACCTCCATGTCGTGTTGGTGTTTGTCTTTGCTGTACCCAAGGAGCGGACAAGCACCTTAATGGCAATATGTCACGCAGACATCTGCAAGGTATTGCGCCTTCGCTGTACCTCCAAGGGGCGAGGTCGTCCCACGGCAGCGTTCATTTCGACTCGACAGCAGCACGACAAGCCCACTGTGCACAAACTGACAGTAGGTGACTCTCCGCTTGAAGAGCACGCTACAGCAGTACGAACGTTTCCACCTTCATCGCTATTTATCTCGAGCTACAATACACGTATAACCAAGCGTTGCAACGCTACGCTGGGCCTCACGCTCACCTTCCAAAAAAGGCTAGCGCGAAGAGACCTCCAGCAATGGGGTGCCTGGTGAGGCGATACAAGCCGTAGAAGAGGGTGCTGCACGAGGGTGCAAGCGGCAAGAGAAGGTGTGGCACCACAATACGGGCAGCAGCAGCAGTACCAAAGAGAAGGCGGTTCGTGTCAACGGGCCTTGCTACCTCAGTATTATTGTGCTACATGTCAAGGTTGTAACGCGTGTCAAGGGATATCGCCGGCCTTACAATACCGGGCACCCAGCACCATAATTCAGAGTATGAGACAACTCGGGTATCAAATCTGTTATTTTCAACGCCACTTCACCGGCCTTATAGAATACAGGGTGACCGGCCTTGTATATGCAGGTGGCCTTTTATACAGGGACCACCCTACTGCACCGAGACTTGAGCGCGATCTGCCGCAATATCGTACACAACACGAGGAACGAAGGCGTCGTGTGATAATTTTCCTCACGCGTGGCAGAACCCCACCGTATTCACCACGGAACACACATCCACCGTCAAGGGTAGCGACTACCGTGCTTCGCAACAGCCAGCAAGGTGCAACGACGGATCAGAGGAGGCCCGCCGAATCAACGTCGTACCAAACGCAGTCCGGCATGAGAGCTGGGCTCCGATGCTCTTCAAACCTCGTAGGTAACAAATGACGGCCGGTGAGCGACGCAAGCATGATGCGCCCACCCGATCGGTAGATACGCGGAATACTGCTGTACACCAGGGTCTACTATAATAGAGCGAGGTTGGAGGACAAAAATGAATTCAAGGTATGGATCTCCCCAACAAAATAAAACGGTATCTTGCGATGTAAACACAGCAGAGAGAGATCGAGATAAAGCGAGAGAGGGGAGCGAGAGAGAGTTGGGGAGAGACAGAGACAGAGACAGAGCCAAAGAGATAGAGAGACAGAGACAGAGGCAGAGAGAGAGCACGTGGTCGTGTCATGTTACACTTGTACCTGAACTCGTTGGTCTGGGCGTAGGTGTAGAGGTTCGGTGCCGGGCATGATGGCTGGCACACCACCTCTTGCCCGAAAAGAAGAAAGGTTCCGTACACCGCACCGATCAGATGATGGGCGTAGTCCATCGCTCGCCTTTTGGTGCAGTAGCCGTTGGTTGGGTTGAAGTACCGCCAGAGGGTGGAAGGGGTTGCGGAGAAAAAGGAGAGAGGGACAGGCAGACAGACAGACAGACAGGCAGACAGACCGACCGACAGGCAGGCGGTCACATACATGACCACAGCGACAGAGTCCTCTACAGCTGTATCCGGAAAGGCGGCGAAAAACAGCACTTGATCTTGACACAAGCGCGCCGCATAAACAGTTTTTCACACGTCATGCCAAGATTCCAAATGAGGCATTGTTCTAACACGGTCATGCCGGTAGAGCAATACAAGAAGCAACAACCACAAGCACGAATGCATGCACTCTATGCCGGAAACTCGAAGGCATTAGACATCCATGGCATAGCGGGGCGGCATCCGTGTAGACGCACGAAAACACACGTCGGCTTCCGCCAAACACGGGATTTTCGCTGGCCGAACCCCTTGCGCGGCTCACGGCCAGGAGACAACCACAATCGTGGAATACGCAGCAGCCGACGGAGCAGGCAAGAGTGTTCCGCACAGCCAGAGAACAAACCAGTGGACATGTGGGACTTGCGTCTCGATGTGGGACTTGTGTCTCCTGAAGCAACACGCCTCCCTTCATACGTCAGCCGGATAATCCCTCCGACTGGACGTATCCACGTCTTTGTCATCAGTGAGGAGGAACTTCGGTTCATGATCTTGATGGCCAACGGCTGTCCGCCCTCGCCCCTCTCGGCTCACTTCCTTTCACTACCTCTGTCTCTGGTTCCATCAGACCTGTCCTACTGTCCACGTGGTCCTACACGTGTCCCACTTCCACTGCCATTGCTCCATGTGAGGATGAATTGCTCGTCGCAAGAGTAGAGAGCCCGTAACTCTCCATCGACCGTCGCGCTCTAGACCAACTCCCATAGACATCGCATCTAAATAAGCGTCAAACCCCACTTACGCCGGAGAGTCTAGCTTCTCCCCAAGGCGCTTCTGTCTCCGTCCGTTGGAGATCATGACCAAGGCATCGACGGCGAAGAAGGCCACGCTTGCCGCCGTAGAAAAGGTGCTGTCGCACCCCGTCAGGATAGTCACCACCGCCAAGCTCGTCGCTACTGCGCCGTGCACCTGTGGGCGGCAGGCGCGCCAATCAGACGAGTGGGATTCGGGAAGGGTTACAGGTTATGCATCGATCGATACTGTTCATTGTGGTGCAGGTCTGAGACTACGTTGTAAACGCATCGCACTGGAATCATCACTGTACACGCTATGTGCAACGAAAATCTGGCCATCCGCTGTACGTGTACACCTGAAAGCGAGCTGCGTGTGTATTTCTTGCTAGTATCGACCTCGCTAACCGGGTGACCAACTAAGAGACTTCAGTCTCGGTGCGGTTGGAAACATACCATGCTTCTACAGGCCACCATCTGAGACCCTGTGAGGGAGCATGGAGTCAATGAGCTGTGTGTGTATGTGTGTTTACCATAGCGTACTAGTGCAGGATTGTTGCCTGGGCAACTACCTTGCTTCTGCTCAAGTGCTTCACTATTATCTCTTTTCTAGGCTGAAACCTGCTACCACCTCCCAGATTCTAAATAATGCCGCGTAGGCCAGCCCCTTTTCTCACATTTGATTTCTCACAACCTGTACAAACACGCATATCGTATCGACTAATCTCTCTCCCCTACCCACCATGTTCGTCCTGATGACATTCTTTTGCTCCGTGTGCCCCGGTGGAAGGCTGACCAGCGCAGCCCATATCACGAACCAGCCGGCAAGCGCCTGCACGCAGCACAGCATCCAGCACCCCCGCCGATCGACCGCCGACCCAATCAAGATTGTACCATCTCATTTTCGTGCATCCATCGCTGCAAGGTACCTACATCTAGGAACGAGGTGCACTGTAAACACGCATGACCCCGCCGCGGGCTGTTTTTCTCGAACGTTTCACGTGGTCACCCCCTACAGTAGTACAACAGCAGTGTACGGCAGTACATCATCATAAGATGCTACTGTACGAAGTATTGTAAGCAGTATGTACATCCTGAGAGATGTGCCCGTCGTCTTCGGAACGGAATAAACCAAAACAGGCTGCTGCAGCTTGGATTCTCCGCAGCACGACGCATCGTTCATGATGGATGTTGGAGAGCGAGTTGCACCCATCGTTCGGAGCAGCGGCACACAACCCGCACTCAAAGCTGCTACAGTAGTCCCGTTCTACGAACATGTATGTGTTCACGCTCATAGAGCAGGGAGGGTTGGTGGTAGCCTGGGATATTGAATACCTATGCATACGCAGTTGCTTGGTTTGTCCGACTGCAACTTCTATCCACGGCAGTTGAGCTACCCGCTACAGAAGCAAACGTCAGTTGGCCAGCCACATTCGGCTATGCTGGCGCAAATGCAGCATACAAGCCTGGTACCAGCAGGCCGTGCTTTGCAGAAGCCCTGCGTAGCTTCATTAGCCAAAGGATGGAATGCACACACTCATCCATTCCATCGTCGCGAGAACCTGCTGCTGCGTGCACAGCTATTGGCCTGTGTGCTGGCACATGCATACGTACCTGGACATAAGAGAACTGGGGCCACCCCGCAATCTGCTCCTTTAAGCTTTCCATCTTCTTCAGAGTGCTGCCCACTCCACCAAGATCCACGGGGCGTCAGGGTACTCTCTCTTTCTCTCTCTCTCTAATGCCAGTGTGCAGCAGCAACAGGAAGGCGGCAGCGGGCGGGTAGCTGGAATCGGAAATTTGTGAAGCGGCGGCGGAATTAGGGGGCGACGCGAGTCGAACCACCTACCACCCCCATGGTAGGTAAGCATGACACAAGATATCACACCCCTTCGACCGATTTTCACAACTCGACTACATACAGCAGCTCCCAGGTCGAAGACGATGTCAAAATCAGAGATCATTCGTTCGAGAGATTATTTGTTTAGATATCTCTCGACGAGACGGTTCCAACGCCGTCATTTGCGTCACCGTCGCTCTTGCTACTGCTGTGGACTACATGGTACTTCGAAAAACCGGTCTAGGGGTGTGGTTTCTTGTGTCACCTAGGTACTCGGATAGTGTCTGGGCAACTACAGGTACATTGCCTAACGGATAGAGTAACGTGAGTCCTGCTCATCAATGAAGTCGAGTCTATTATTAGCGTCGAGACCTGGTTTGTAAAATACGGCCCAGTTCGTTCCACTGCTAATATACGACATTACCCACCTCATTCGTTCCTAGCATACACAACAAGCAGTAGGAACAGGTGGTTGCATAGAGTAAAACTTGCGGATGGTTGGACTAGAGAAACGTAATATAAGCGTTAACGAATCAGTGAAGAACAAGGAAGTTATTGCAGCGCACTCAAGAGCCATTATCTGTAGCACCGGTATAAGTACCACATGCATACATACATACCATCACGCATAGAGTCTACCCGAATGTCCCACACGTTAGCATTAACCTCCAAGTTCGAAAGAAAAACGGCCGTGGCTGGGGCGACCACAACAAAACCCGACGCCGTAGACTAACCAACGTAGTGCTGTAGATACTTGGTCTGTTTGCGCCTTTGCCTCAAGGTAGACAAAGTCGTAGGCAGCGCCTGCTACGAAATGTGGAACGGATAAAGCCAACCAACAACAACAGCACTTGAACGTAAAACAAGACCCTCTCGCACTTTGGCCGCAGCTTCCACAGCAAAAACGACCAGAACACCACTCAAGAGAAACAGATTCCGCGACCTCAACAAGCACAACAAGGCAAAGGAAACACACAAATATTACAGGAATGAACAGATAAAAAATTATCTCGACCACGTACTTCGCAATCTCGCGCCTACAGTACGCGGGAAAAATCATGCAGGGCCAGCCATTCTACGGGGAGGATCTCAACCGCACGGTTATCATTAGCGTTAGTCCCGGCTACATCAGCGGCACCGGCTAACTAGTAGCAGCGGCAGCGGCGCTTCTCTCCTTCTCCAAGCAGTCCCATCTCAGGGTCTCTACCGTGTCCCTGATGGTTTTGCGGGTGGCGCTGATAACGCTGCTGTCGAACCACTTCTTGCTGAAAATTCCGCCCTTGCCCTTCCTGTCCAAGAACCTTTGATACGTCAAGACAAGACAAGCCAAGGATAGCAGCACGGGGACTTAATGGGCCGCGAAAGATGTTTGTGTGTGTTTTTATCATTAGCATCGACCGCTCAACCGACTGACCAATCAAAAGACGTCAGTCTCAGTGCGGTTGAAAACACCAGACACTTCTAAATGCCATCAACTGGGAACCCGTGAGGGGGCGGCATGGGGGAGGCTAGGTTATCTCCGGATCAAAGACAGTTTGTCTGTGTTCTGGGAAAACAAGTATTTTCGATTGACTCGAACAGCCACGGGCTAAACGAAGACCTCTCATAACGCTCCTAACACTGTTCAACTGAAGGGGTGCTTCGACAATCAATCGACCAGAGAACGGCACACGTCACAGGCGACACCGTAAGCGCAGGGCCTTCGCCTTTACGTCTAGGTTAGCCCAAGGCATCCGTATTTTCTCATCTCGTGAGGCTCGGAGCGGTCGGAAATCGCACAACATGGGCTGAGACGTTTACTACATGCGAAAAAGTCATTGCAGTCAAGCATGCGCTCAACGAGCGACTCGACTCCGCCCAGAGCAGAGGGGGAAGGCATACACCATGCGCTGAGGTACATACACACTCTCGTGGCACGGAAAAAAAGCACTCGTACATTTATCACCCGCTCTACCGTGCGATTTCTGTGATGCCTTGACAAGAGGACACTGAACAACAACATCACCTACTACTATTTACGATAGTAGACTACTACTACTACACTACTACTACTCGCAACAGCATCAACAACAGCATCAACAACATCAACAACAACAGCAAGAGTCATAGATCTCTGTCGTAGAACCCTCACCTTTGAGTGGTGAGGGGAGGCTTCTCGAGGATGAGCTTTGCGTAGTGGATCACATACACGCCGCAGTCGCAATCGTTCGTCTGCTGAGGTATCTGGAAAAAAAATTGAACCATTGCAAGGAGGACGACAGCAACAGCATGGAGACAAACGACAGCAACATCAAAACAGCAGCAGGTCAAATGGCCATAGAAATTCCATTGCCTACCTTACGAAGTGCTGTGAGCCGATCGACACGAGTCGATGCCATTTTCCAGCACGATGCTGGGAGCAGCTTGGCACACTTTGATGCAAACAGGACTTTTTCACAACGGGTGGGGAGCTGTGCAGGCAGAAGAGGGCCTGAGCCCCTTTTGGTCGTTAGTTGAGAGTGAGACTAGCGCGTGGGCAATGCTACAAATGGGCGAACACGTTGGCATGCTTCGGCAAGAGGGTACCACCATGTACACGTACGATCGCCGACTGACTGGACTACGATGGCACACTGTTCATGATCAGCGAACCACACGTGACGCCGTAGTAGGCGCTTGTCCAATCTGTTCGCTCACCGCAACATCGACCTACCTGACAAGAAGACAAGGACCAAGCTGTTCACTAACGAAACAAGGAAACACCGTTAATACCCCAAGGAAGCACGTGTGAGGTACAGATTCCGGTGGGGAACGAAAGAACTTCCTGCCAAGGAATAAGTCCTCTGATGACATCACAACCGACATGGCATGACATGACATGACATGACATGACACCCGACCTTCTCCTGATATGTAACGTAGGACCCGCTCTAAATGAGTCACGGTCCACCATTGTATTATTGTGCTTCTTCAGGTGTTGCTGTACATGGTACCCATCAATGTAGTGGGGGCCTTCAGGTGGGTAGAGTCTCTCAGGGACTCTCTGGGGGACCGCAAAGCACTGCAGTACTGCTGCCAGACTAGGGTACGGGATAGGGTTTAAGGTTTACTACTGTCTTTGCCCACCGGTGGGCTGCAGCCGCCTAGCAGCTTGGCGGTGACGTCGACCTTGCTCTTCCTCCCGCTGCTCTTCCCGTGGGTGTTGTTCCAGGCGGCTTCGACGTACCTGTTGACCGGGGCAAGGGTACGCGGTCAAAGACTACCGGTATGGCGTGTGTTGCGCTACAAGCAGTTAGTTCCGTGGCCAAGGTGTCTCTATCTCGTCTCATCTCCGACTTTGCCTTGGGGATTGACCTATCTTAGCCCCCAGAGCAGGGTGGCTTGCGAGGCGCATACTGTACTGTAACTCCTCAGCGCAACCGCCGTTCGAGCAAAAAAAGAGTGGTCCATGGTATCATATTCACCGCCTTGAACCGCCATAAAGAGACTGCGGTGTAACGGTTACGCGAAAAGGTACAACACAAATATTTGTCACCCAAACCCATGCCGTACTCACTTGCGAACCATCCTGAAGACCTCCTGAGACCGATGTCCCTTGGTGGAGTCCAGCAGCAGCATGCACGGGATGGGTGACTCATCCACTACCTCTTCGGCCCCTGCTGCCCCCTCCCCGCCGTCCAAATCTCCGTCCAGCGGTGAGGAGCTCAGGCCCGCCGCACCAACGTCCGCCACGCCTTCCCCGCCCCCCGGCTCCTGCCCAACTGCGACGCCCCCATACGTGGTCGGCCGTTTCCCGTCGCCATTAATGCTGTCTGGAGGTGAATGTTCGTGAGTCAGAGGCAGCTGCGTTGCCTTGCAACCACTGCCGTTTGTCGATCGTGATAGTGGCCTCCTCGATCGAGTCGACCCTGCCCTTGTCCGGAGTCGATCGAGTCCGGTTTCCGCAACAACAGCGACGGCATTGCTGCCGAGTGCCTTTAGATCCCGTACTTCGGCGTGCGCAACAATAGCGGCATCGCTGCGCAGCGCCTCTGCTTCTCGCGTGCAAGATGCGTCCGGTGCATCTGCCGCGGCAGAAGTGGCAGCAGCAGCAGACGCAGCGGCAGCACTGGCCCCACAGGGGACAGAGCGCAATCGTAATGATGACGTTGCGCGTGCTGGCTGCGAACGACCCTTACGATCAACCTTTTGGCCGGCTGTTCTGGGCACTCTCCACTCCGTCCCTTCACTACCCCCTGGCGGGGCCGGATTTTCCGGCACACAGCCGCCGCCGCCGCCGCCGCCGTCGCTATCCACATCTTCCCCTGCCCCTTTCTCGCGCCCGCTGCTACTGCTGCCGCTGCTGCTGCTGCTGCTGCTACCGTCCTCGCCTGCCGACGGCGGCGCTAGGTCCACAACCTCCGCCCCGGCAGCCACAGCCGCCGCACCTCTCGCCGCCGTGCCCCTGCCGCGACAACTACTGAACATCGACAGCAACGAGCACTCCGCCACTTCTTCCTCTTCCTCCTCTTCATCTTCCGCTTCTTCTTCTTCTTCCTCCTCCTCCTCCTCCGCTTCATAATCCGCAGCCGGCGGTCCGTTCGACGACAACGCCTCCACGTCCACCGCTGGCTCGGGCTCTCCGCTCGCCGGCCCGGGCTCGTCATTCGACGGCAAGGCATCCACGTCGATTGGTCCGCTGGTCCCTTGGGGCTGTGCTGCCGTCGGCATTTCTTGCCGGCGAGCACCAACACCAACACTCCGACGCCGAACAGTGGTGCGACCCGCGATCGTGGTGTCCAACCCACCGGCCGTCGGGTCGGGGGAGCGGCGACGGCGGCGGCGGCGATGTGAGTCTTCTCGGCCGGGCCTGTCGCCCGCGTCGGCACTCCCAGGACTAGGCTGAGACCCTCCAGCCACCGCTGCCCCCGACCGTTCTCCGGGGGGCCCGGCACAAGGCGGGCTGCTCGGGGACATGGGCGAGCTGGGGGAAGGCTGGTTCCATCTCCCCTCTCTTCGGCTGTCTGCCACGATTGCAGGGGAGCCCTTCGTTTCTCGTCCTAGCGGTGGTGGCGATGGCGATAGCACCGATTCCGGCCCATCGTAGAGGGATCCCTTTGAGGCTTCAACGTCCAGTGCTTCTACGGGGGTGGATGTGGCCGATCCAGGTGCAGTAGGTGACCCAGATGCAAATCCAGGCATCGGTGGCGCGTATCCTCGCGAAACGGTTGCCGATGGCGATGCCGGTGACAATGATGATGACAACCTTGTCCTTCCGCCACCGACGATCTCACCAGCACGCGAAGGGAGCTGGTCCTCCTCCTCGACCTCCAACTCCATCTCCATGTCCATCTCCACGGGAAGGCTCTCCACGTTCTGCCGGTTGTCCGATTCACCCGCCGTCGTAACACTGCCGCCACCCTCTCCCATGGCTACCGCGCTCGCTTCCCCGGGCTGCGACGCCGCCCCGTGAAGTGACCACCCTCTTCCACTCCTGATGCAGGCACCACCGCCGCCGCCGCCTCCGCCGCCACCGGCCTCTGCCTCAGAAATTCCGGAGGCATGGCGGGGGCAGTTTCGCCCCATCCTGGTTGCTGTCGAAGAAGAAACAGAAGAAGAAACGTTGCCAGTAGGACCGGCATCGGCGCCACCAGAACAGTTGTCCAAGAGCGATATGCTGTGCCGCTGTATTTCCGTGGATGGGGGCCACCCCATGGCCTTGCCTCCGCTCGGCAACGGCGAGGCCTGGCTGAGGGACTCGCTTTCGCACGGAGGAGGCGAAGAAGGCATTGCTGCCCCTGCACTTGCCGCGGCGGCGAGGCTAGCGGCGTCGCGGGATGGCGAAGCTGCCTGCGGCATCTCCTCGTCGTCGTCGTCGTCGTCCTCCTGGAAACGACCTCCTTCGGTATGCGAAACCGTCGAGCTCTGGGTGCTGCTGCTGCTGCCGCCGCCGCCATCACCACTCTCGGCGCCAGCGTTGGCTCCGGTCTCAGCCCTATTGTTTTTCCCTGCCTTCATTTTCGCGGAGTTCGTTGATTCAGCCGCAGCGGCGGCAGCGGCTGCGGCGGCGGTGAGGGCCGTGGTTTTCTTGCGGGCGGCGGCGGCGTCCTTGTCCTTGTCATTTTCCTTCCCTTCTTCCTTTCCTTCTTCCTTCCCTTTTTCCTTCTCCTTTTCCTTCTGGTTCACTCTTTTCTCGAAAAGGTCCGGGTTGATGAGCACAAGGAGACTCCAGTGCAGCCTGTTCACCATAGGTAGTTACGGTTTGTGTGAGCAACTCGCAGGTTAGTTGACGATAGATCCGGTTCGTGTGATAAACTCAAGTATTGTTGATGATAGATGCGCGGTTCGTGCGATGAACTCAAAGATTTGTCCCTAATGCGGTTTGCGCGATCAACTTGAAGGTTTGCTCGTGATGCGGTGTGTGGTTTGGTCTTATTAGCGGACGCGAACAATTGAGTTTGTGGGTGTCGCAAGTCTTTCTTTCTGCGGCGTCCCAAAAGTTGAGGCAAGGGTAACCGAAAACTCGCAACTTCAGAGGGAGGTTGGTTTTTCGAGCAGAAGCCACAGGCCGCTCCTCTGCTATAGCCAAAGCATATTTGGTCAAAAACAAGCCTCGGTGTTCAAAAAGGATGTAAGTGGAAGTTCACGTATCTTTTCATAGTGGGTGCACGGCGACTCATCCCTAGGCCAGTCGCCAATTGGAACGAACGACATGGGCATCGCAGGAAAACCTGACACGTACGTATGCGTTGGAACTGCCGGTTTCCGCAGAACGGCAACACAAGACACAAAAGGACAGATTGAATGACTTGACCTCAACAGCAGCTAAAACAACTAGGCGAAAAGAACGCGCGCGGCCTGACGGCGTCCATCACATACTGCTGTACCGTACCGTACCGTACCGTACCGTGCGCGGTTAGGGATACCGGTGGAAGATCGACACGACTAAAACTACAGCAGTATGTATGATGCAACAATATTTTGCTGCACGCTTGATGGAGACGGACCGTATCTGTTATAGTGTACTCACGCGCTGTTGATGGGGAAGAGCACGATCTTTTTGCTGAACAGGTCCAGCCCTTTAGTCCATTTCTAAAAAAACACGGGAGTGGACAACAAAAAAACAAGGCACAGGTCCAGCGTGATTCGTCGGAAACCTATGCATGCGTGCAACCACATCCACAATCAGTGATTCGTGCATTACAACACCACCAGCCAAATACTGTCCGGCATTCATTTCACCCACACAGCACCAACCCCACCCATAGTCATGGCCCTTACTGCTTTACTGTTACATTGTACAGTGGACACGCAGACACCCCACCGTATACCATTGCGCGTCCCACGACGGTATATCTCTAGTACTGCAGGGAGTCACGTCACGAAAGTTCGCTCGCCAAGCCCTCATTCGCTGGACGCAAACACCGCTATTGCATGTAACATCGTCGATCTCGGTCGCGAGCGCTAGAATGACAACAACAACAAAAAATTGAAACCGAAAGACTAAAAAGCAAGACGCAGCACCTGGACTTTTCGCCAGTAGGTGTCCGGGTCCGCAGCATCAGCGACGTTGGTGATACCCTGCACCACCAAGGGGCTGAAGGCGTGGACCTAAGAAACATCGTTGTTATTGTTGTTGTTGGTGTTGGTGGTGTTGTCTTGATGTTAAAAACCGTTCCGGTCTCTTCTCAGTAGCCTCTAATGTCCGTACTGGTCCAACTGACACGGACAACGCCTTCCGTGGTCACAAGCCAACTACCCCAAACGGGGGTACAGCTTTCCAGACACAAAACAACACACAAAAACCCAGAAGAGGCCTCAAAAGCGAGATTTGTTACCCAAACGAACAGAGACATGAAAAAAAAAGGGCAAGATTTGCGAAGTGCACAGTAGAGTATTGGAGTGAGCGTCACGTCACGTACTCACTACGATTACCAGTGCGCGGGAAAAACACATATACATACCTGGTTCTCCGCTAACAAGGGCAGCAGTCTAACGAGGGCTGACTGTGCCTCTGAGTTGGAGCCAATACCTCATTTGCGATCATTTGCGATCGAACGCTTTGACACCACCACATCACTCACGAAGAGACAAGCCACCCGTCCAAAACTAAGTTACTCGACGTCAGCGGTGTATGCCTCACAGCGACGGTAATAACGCAATCGGTGGCTCGTTGCTGGTGTGTGGCGGGGCGACGTACCCGCTGTCACCAGAAACCAACGCCCATCACATGGACCATTCCTGCTGCCACGCCAACAAAATGAGGCAATGCTTTCGAATACATACTGACGCCCCGCTACTATCAGCAAACGCAAACACCTGGCCAGCGCCACATCTGCACCAAGGCACCTCCCAGCCAGCGAAAACACAAACAAACACGATAGGGGTAGGGTCACGGTTAGGATCAGGGTGTGCACTCACCGAACTTGGTGCCAAGCCTTCCGCAAAGCTGTCTTCCCGAGAGAGAAGATACCTGTCATCGAGGAGTTGCACAAGCACGCGTAACACACACCGCCTCGGAGATATCAGACCTTGTCAAGAAGGGAGGGACAAGCCGACATCGCAAGCACAGGCGGTGAAGCTCGTGCCCGTTCCGCAAGGGGAAACAAAAAGCACTCCAGCCGCCGCCCTTGTGGCTTACAATGTACGACTCTCCCCACATGTAGCGCAGTCTTCTATGTCCGGATCAGGAGCCGAATACAGTATAGTACAATGCAGTATTATAAGCGTCTGGAACAGCGCGTCGCAAATCGAGGACAAGAAACAGCACTCGCTTTGGAAGGAACACCGTTAAGGTTAGGGTAAGCAGCAAAAGACTGAAGCACACACATGACATGACATCACAAAAAGGGACCAACATCCAAGACAGTTGTGTCGGGCACACTATGAACAATGGTGGCGAGCCGAAAACCGCACGCCGGGCTGGTAGGTCAACCGTCTAGGATACCGTCGTACTCTGGGCGAAGGCAGAGGTGTGCAATCGATCTTTCAAGGTTAAGGCTAACTGCTCCACAACGAAAAGGGAGGATTTCGAAGAAAACCACTCGCTCGAGAGGTGCAAGGAATCACCTCTCTCTCTCTCTTTCTCTCTTCCGTCTGTCTCTGTCTGTCTGTCTGTCTGTCTGTCTGTCTGTCTGTCTTTCTTTCGACGAGATCTTGCCAACACCACCGTTTGCCACCATTGGCAGCCTCTTAGTGTAGCAATCGACCTTTGAAAACCGATCGATCGACGGCACACTTGCATAGCACCATGCGTTGACCACACCGTTTACGGTAATCAACGATCTGACGCTTGCCTGAGGTAGAAGTCAATGATGGTGTCGTTCAGGAACACATTCTCTTCCAGGCGGATGACGTCAGACCGGGTCACCTGCACCGCTCCCTGGAGGATTGAAAAAAATACAGCAGGGTGGGTTGGAGAAAAATCGCAGACACGACTTCCCATTCATACAACACTCGCAACCAGTTTTCCTCCCACCCATGTGTATCTTCAGGCAACACCCGACATATCCGGAACATGACTGCACCAGCTATGCTATGCTACGGTCCACAACGTCAAACTGGCCGAAGTCTTCGCGGTGTGCAGTACTGCTGATGCAACAGAGGCAGGCTGCGAACGTCACGTACCGTGGTATCCTTGTTCGGGAAGATCACGCGACTCTTGTGGGGTACGGAGCGAATACACCTGTCATCGACGGCGCCATCAAACGTACAGCATCATCAAACGCGTGTTTATGACACGACAGCGATCGATCCGTGTCATAAACACGCAACAGCAACCATCGTGCTGTGTCGCTACAGTACCATCGGAAGGGTTGCGGGTCGGCAAAGTAGCAGCGGGAGCCAGCAAGCGACGAAGGAGGCAGAGAAATCACACACACACAAGATGTCACCGAAGCACCACACACCACTCAACAGTTTTGCGGCGGCTGCGGTTCCAAGGCGAAACGGTGACGAAACGTGCAGCTCAAACTCCGTCTGGAATCATTGGTGTACTTGAACACGCTCGTTACGACGTTGGCAACGCAAACATGCCAAGCAAAATCTACCACAACTTGCATCAAGCACATCGCCTAGCTCGGATGCTCCACCTGAAATCTGACCGTTGGTGTACTTGATCACATATTCGTCCATGCTGTTGGCCACGCAAAATTGCCAAGCAAAACCCATCACTACTTTGCATCAAGTATCATACAACAATGCCTGAGGTGTGTGGTACTGGTACATACATACTTCTTTACGTGCTGTCGACTCATCCTTCGACGTCGATATGAACATACTTCTTTACGTGCGGTTGACTCATCCTTCGACGTCGAAATGTACATACATAAATAGTGCTGTCGACTCACTCTTCTCGCAGGAAAGCGACGGCCCACGACAACCGGACTTTCTGGATGCCCGGTGGGGCTCCTTGCCGCTCCTTGCGGGTGCGTAGCTCTATCAAGCCGTCGCCGAAGTCGGTGGCGACAAAGCTGCTATCCCGCCGCACCCCACCAGCACCGTCATCATCGTCACAAACCATCGTCACCACTCGGGAAGGCTTATCGGCACTGGCGGCGCCTTGGGCGGCTGGAACAGCTGCAAAGGGTAGCACGATGGCGAGTGTGAGGTGGTGCAACGGCAGTTTCGGGCAGGTGGCGAGGGACGGGGACAAAGCCATGTGGATACTAAACATACTACGAACCACCGGTGCTCTTCTACATGATACGCCATGACGAGGGTCTTGCTGGTAGAAGTTGCTGCCCAGCGTGTCGTGGTGCCTTCATGCTCAAGGCCACAAAACGCCGAGGAAGAGACGATCAGGGTGCGTATAAACCCGATTCTCTACGCGACATATACCTGTACGCTACATCACTCCACTCCAACTAAAAATAACAACGAAACAAAGAACGATTGTTAATGGCGTTGGTGTCGTCGAGCGGGGAGACTGCTGGTTTCTTCTCTGACGTTTACTACGAACATAGCCCTCAAAACGTCGTCTTTCAGGCGGCCAGGACGCATGACTACTCCATGAATACACCCACACCACCAATCGATGAGCTTTTAAGTACCGTTGTGCTTTTTATGCTCCCAACAAGCGGAGGCCAAAGGTCTACTTGTACCCTTCACAACGACACTAAATAGCCCGGCTCGAAACCGTGTGAATCAGAACAGCCGCCTTCCTTCAAAAAAAGCGAAAGGGTCCTATGAATACCCAATGCGGAAGGTGCTGAAGAAATCTCTTCACACATCTTGTCAACACCCTTCCTTCCACATCACAGCAGTCATCGCTTTAAACCTCACTTTCGTTGCCATCGCTCATCCTCAGTATCCTCACTATCGTATCGTTGTCCATCACCGCCCTGCCTTCTATGCCGTCGTGATCCCTATCGAAGAGCGCCTTCCCCCGCTACTATTGTATCACTAAACAGTGTTCCTGCACTACACTGCTGTCACTTGCTGTCTGTCACCACTTCAACGACAACGATAATAACTTGTGCATTTACTCGTACCTTAACCTTCTGATCCGCTACAGTATGTTGTGGTTTCCCACTCTCTGGAGTGAAACATCGCACTCTACAATACAACTGCTGTTGGGCTGTTGGCTATGGAAAGCGCACAGCAATTCAGCCGTGAGCAGAGCACAAAAGCTGTGGGAAGACAGCAGTGCCGAACCCACGCCACTGACCTCGAACGTCGTCATCATCGCTGTCGATCACCAGGGGCTCTTCCAGCGTGGTCGGAGGGGGAAGAGGGTGAGTATACCACTCTGCCGATGCCCTCGTCTGGTGTCGAGTGCTGCGGGGCCTCCTACGGATTGGGGTGCTGCACGGGCTGTCACCGGCCCCTCCGTCACTGTTGTCGCTGTACGAGTCCGACATGTTGGCGTTAGTATCGGCAGAGCTTCCCCGCCCGGATCTCCGCTTTGTCGTTTGTTTTGCCTTCGGCGTAGCTGCTGGAGTTCCGTTCGCTTGTGCCTTTGCTCTTCCCTTCCCCTTCCCCTTCCCTTTCCCCTTCGTCTTCGTCTCTTCCCCCGTCGCAGGGGTCGACTGTTTCGTCAAACAAGTGTCATGCGTGTCGGTACAGTACCGGATGCGATCGGAGAGATGCAGACATAAGGTTCCAGCCCTGGTCCTAACACTGAGTGCAATGCGTCAACGTTGTATGGAATGCCTTCTCCAACACGAACAAAAATGAACCAAGAAATAATACCACGATAACATACACCGATAGGATCACTGTATCAAGATTTTTTCGCGTGTCACTGGGGTCGATGCCGCCGCGGATTCGACGCACCTGTCCGACTTTCGAAGCCCGAGAGCCAGGGCACGGCACGACACAAAGCCACCAAACACACTCACCAGCACCTGCTGTAACCATGCTTGTACTCAACCGGCACTGTTATGCTTCTGATGCCCTCCCCACACAACTTTACTGTTCGTGAATTCTTCTATCCTACAGTACTGTACATCGCTGTGAACTGTGGACCAACCTGTCCTTCCAATACGTGAGGCAGTAGCGCACACCCCTGCCCCTGTGCGTCGCCCCCACCCTCGCAGTCGATACCTCCATCAGCACCAACGCTCGTTACCACTCTCCACTCCTCTCCTTGTTGTACATCGCCACACTTCAAGTCGCCTGCCCAACCACGCACGCGAGAGCACGACAGGGGGGGGGAGCCGGACCACAGAAGTCGAGTGGCATATGTGTTCCCGTTCGTTACGTTCAGGCCAGAGAGTGCCAAGAGAAATTAAACACGACGTGCTATGCGAACGACTACAATACAGTAGTTCCGTGTGATGTCACTACGTCACCTGCCTTGACAACAAACAGTCAGCATGGCTCGCGCAACTGCACTATTATCATACTGCATGGCCTCCTAAACGTCTCGATTCCACGCCTCTCACTGGAGCCCAATCAATCCTTCAAATCCTTCCACAATTATTTCTTCCCATGGTCAAAACAAAAGCGAGTGGAGAACGATTACGGCAAGACTCACCCGCATCCTGCGCACCGCGCGCTCGCCCCCCCTTCCGCTTCTCCCGCCTATTCCTCGGGATAGCCGCCACCGTCGGGGCTCCCTCCTCCTCCTCCTCCTCCTCCTCCTCTTCCTCCTCCAACATCACCTCTTCCCGCTCGCAGCTTCCCTGGCCAGCCCTCTCCTGGACCAGCAGGTGACCATGTTGCCCCCCCTGTCTAGCCGATCTCCGTCGTCGTTTCGGCGACGGTGTTGGTTCTCGGGCGGTTGCGCCGGCAGCGGTTGCGTGATCGATCTCCTCGGCATGGCCGACCGACAACCCTGCGGAGGACTCGGTAAGGACAACGTCCCCGTAGCCGTGGCCCGCGTCGCTCGCCGAACGCTTCTTGCTTCGCGTCGGCCTGACGTTGGGCTGCGATTTTGGCTGGCTTTCTGCGGGCGCAAGTGGCGATGGAAACGGGACCGCCGGGGAGCCCTCCGCCTTTCCTGTAGTGCGGCCGGAGGACCTCGTGGGAACCACAGGCACATCATCCTCTTCATCCTCGCGACTGCTGTCCATCGTTTAACGCCTGACAAGTCACGCGGCAGGAGGGTGAACTCAGTTATTTAGTTAAGGGGTGTGAACCAATCAATCGTCACTTCGGGTTGAACACACAGCAGCAACTTGCCGTACCGAAGAAATCTGTTATTTACACGCTCTAAATTTTAAATTTACAAAACGGCTGAGGTTATATCTCGAACGGGTAGTATTTCTGTGAGGTTATATTTACTTCCTAAAAACAAGCAACAGAGTAGAGTAAAGCTTTGGAGCTGGAAACCACGCGGAGGAGCTGTTGTACATACGAGAGAGCACGGGAAACCCGGGGATACCTACGTAGTAGCAGCACATCCTCCAGAGGAGCTTCAAGCTCTCAGATGCATACTATTATACTAAATATAATACTGCTGTAGGTCAAGGTCTACAGTACTACAGCGGACCCGAAGAGAGAGGCAAGACTTCAGACTGCCACAGCTAGACAGTACCGCCTTCTAGGGGTTCTGTGTTCTTCGAAAGCCGCGTGCGGTATGAGGAACAATCCTTTCGTCCAAGGCGAACATACGTCGTGCGCTGCAGCTTGCCTCTCTCCATCACCCAGCCCTACGCATTTCAATAGCTGCAAAGAAGTTTGCGGCGCCTGTGCCACATTTGGATCGCTTCCACAATTGCTTGCTGGGAAGAGCTCGGATAGCCCAGTTAGGTGTACGACTGGTGTACATGTAGCGGCCCTAACAAGGGGAGCAGCTGTGCCTCGAGACTATGCAACCGCTATGCAGGGAACCTCGCTGGACAGGGAGCCGTCAAACTAGGACCTCTGCCACGGGCAATTCACTTGCTGTTCCGGGATACGGCCATACGGGATTAGGGAAAGGGCGGTCTATTGGCGGTCTATTTAGCTATCGGCCGCCCCTTTACGCACCTATGGATGGTTGAAATTACTGTAGCACGGTCTTTCTAGGAAGAAGACGGTTGTCCCAGAGCGTGAACAGACCTAGAGCAAACACTTCACCCGTCTCCCCATGATCCTCAGGCAGGAGATGCAGCTACAGGCAGAGTGTAGTGTGGCAGGACTTACAGCAATCGATAGGGGAGCCGCAGATGGCGTTTCAAGAAGACCTCAATATACCCAACCGAATTGTCGGAGCCCCTACGCCAAGGCTCAGGCGCCGCGTGGCAAACACAAGCAAGAGACTTCGCGCTAGCTTACCAGACACAGGCTTGCAAAGGAAAAAGGGACGCGGTTCTTCCCTCGGCTTAAGGCACGCTCGGTTTCATACCGTCCTGGCACAAAGGGTGGCGCTGGCGTAGGAGGGGGCACTTTATATATATCATCCCTGCTTGTTTTAGCAGTCAATCTCCTGGATTTTCAGGCAAGGAGCATGCTGGGCCTGGTGCTTGCGCTAGCCCTTGGGGCCAGCACGCACGCGTTCGTTGTCACAACTCAGCAGCATCGACCAGCGCTCTCTTCTTGCAAAAGGGGGCAGAGCTCTTCGCCAGGTGAGACAGAGCACTCGAGCTTTCGCTTCTTTATTCGGCCGACCGGTCAGCAGCACGAGTAGGACGGGCGGCTCCGGTCAACCCGATCTGATGCAATCTGTGTTTGTTGAGTGTATCTGTACCTACTTAGTCTTGTGCCACAGGTCTGGCATGGCTCCCTCTCTATGAGGATGCCTTAGTGTGTGACGGTTCGATCGAAGAGAGGTTGACGGCAGCCTGTTGTTATACCTTTGCAGCAGTAGTCCCCAATAACGGCAGCACTCGCTCACGTATGTGCCTTCTTGACTGATGATGTTACCGCACTTGCAGCAAGCGAACACGTCTTTGTGTCCGTGAAAGCTGCATGCTGTGGACACAGCAGTGCGTCCAATGACAACCTTACTTGGAACTGCTGTAGCAAGGCAAGAGCGTTAATAGTTAAAACCCTACAGATCACCCACGAATGGTAATGCTCGCCGTTACCCTGTTGTGTATGATGCGATGTGCACATGCATATGATGCCTGTTTGTGCCTGCTGCAAGGAAAAAGTATCACTCTCCTGCTCGCGGCAAAGGGTGTGACACGAAGCATTTACATGTAGAACTTCAATTCACGTCGCGACTACCCGCCATGCCGTTACACATTTGTTGTGTTCTTTGTTGTTTTGTGCCCCCTATATCTACATACAGCAGATGGTTTTTGCCGGGTAGGCGTGTCGATCTGGCCTTCACAAACCCGCAACTCACACAGTCGACTGACTCTCGTCTGCATTACTCGCCTCCACCCCCCCCGCGATCAAACAAGCAGTCCCAGTAGGCGATGGGCCGGGTCGAAGCTACAGCAGGCTAAGGAGATCCGGCGGGTATGCCGTTTCGCCGAGCGGTATCACCAAGAATCATTTGTCTACTTGTATGCGTGTGAGGAGACCTAGCGGGGGCGACGTGGAGATTGAGGGAGTGGGGGGAGAGACACGACGGGTGCAGCAGCGCTCGAGACGACGGCCGGACTTGCGCCAGATAGGCCTGCAGGTGTGTGCCGAGAGCGTCGAGTGTGTCGAGTGACCTTGTACAATGTGGGCATTCTGCCCCCCGTGGTGTGTTTTGATGCCGCAAAAGCGAGTGGTAGGCTACGCGACACCCAAGCCATATGGTATCCCAAACACACGCATGAGAAAGTAACTTGGGCAGCACCCGACATGCAGTGGCGGCTACGGTTTAAGAGAGGGTCGTGACCAGCCAGTATTTTTCTCTTGAATCCGTTTTTCTCTTAAACCGCACTGTGACTTGTATGTATTTCTCATGGTCGTGACAAGGCAGTTTGACTCTCTTCAATCGGTAATTTCTCTTAAATAGTCTCTTCAACCGTAGCCGCCACTGTACATTGGCTACGGAATATCATTGATCTTGCGGAGACAGACCGGTTGGAGTTGGATGTTTTTCTCTCCTGCTTCTCTCCTCTTTCCGGTGACGGTGACGATTAGACCAACGAGGCCACGCTGCCGCGGTCTCTGATGAATGATAATGATCACAACGGGCTCACCCAGTCACCCATGATGTGCGGTTGTGTGATTTTTTTTCAAGTCCTCACGGGCGACCGGCCAGCTTCTGCAAGTACTGACTGCTGTATCTGTGCTTGCGTGTGTGCGTGTGCGTGTGTGTCTTTCTGTGGTAACATCGACCGCACTAACCGGCCGACCGAGGAAAATACGACGTTCTCAGTGCGGCCAAAACAGAAAATTCTTCTAACGGCTATGACCTGGGACCCGTTGATGGGGCTTCATCGCAGGGGCTACTATAGGGGTCTTCTCCGGATTAAAGACAGAAAAAACGGTATCATATATATGGCAAACGAAAAAAAATTGTGCATGTGTTTTCCCCTATCTTGTATGGTGCGTCTGAGGCACCTGAGGCACCTGAGGCACCTGAGGCACCAGCCGTGGTCCTCAAGGACAGGAAGGTTACTACTATTCTAGATTTTTTTGATGTTGCTGGTGGTGTTGGTAGTGTTGGTGGTAAAAGACGTGATGGCAACGTGAGGGTGTCGTATCGAAAAGCGCCTCGTTCGCTGGCATTCACTCGCTGTGGTTAAATAGCCCTTTTGACTCCAACCCTGGCCCTTATTCTAGCCCTATTAACAGCCCTGACTGAGTGACTCGAGAGGCCCAACGCTATCCCATCCCAGAGGCCAGCGGCAGTGGTTGCACGACAAGTCGGGGCAAGCGTTGACGATACCAAGGAGTAAATAGAACTCAACCCTAGTAGCTGTGTATCCCTTGTAACCATAACCGTTGTCACCTTAATAAAACCTAAACAACCAACCTATTCGTTCGGTCTGAAACCCAATTAACCCTAGTAGTAGTAGCCCTTGTAAAAAACACCTAACGACTTTTTGTTTACTTTCTAAAAACCCTAACAATGCCCTAATGACCAACCCCAGACCGCAGCGGCAGTGGTGGTACGGCAAGACGAAGTCGTCGACGTTGCCGGGGAAGAAGTGGAGGCAGAGGGTGACACCATCGGGCAGGAGTCGGGGGAGGAGTTCATGAACCTGGCGGAGAGTTTCGACGCCTCCCAACGCCTTGTGGAGGAGTCCATGATGGACCCGCAAACCGGGACGATCCAGGATCAGTACACCAAGTTATACATGCCGGTGAGTTGTATGTAGTCTAGTGGGCTAAAACAGAGGGAAAGAAGCACCCAGAATGGCTGACACCGCCTAAGCTAGGATATCAATGTTAGTATGTTTGGGGCGGGGTTGCAACCGCACCCAGGATGACTGGACCACCTACGCTAGGATATCAATGTTGGAGTCTTATGGGGGGGTTGCAACCGTAACCGGTAACGCCTATGGTACATTGTCACTAGGGTTAGGTTGAGGGTGGTGGGTGGTAGCAGGTATGGCTTGATGGTGATGAAAACAGAAGCAGAAGCAGGAAAACACAACGCGGAGAAGTGTGTGCAAGTAACAAACAATGCCAGTTTGTATTTCCTGTGTGACGCACACCGAATTGCGTCCAGCTAGCACGCAGCAGCAGTGGCCCCGAATTTTGGCAGGACCAGCTGGTGGCCTTAATCGACACCGATAGCTCGAAAAGTATTGTGCTGGTCTGCTGTCCGTTGTTCATCGTGTCGTGTACTTTGATGACTCCATGCCCCATTATTTATAATAGTTGGTATTGTCCGATGGTTATCTGTCCGTTGGCACCGCTCCTGCTCTGAAACCATCATTATCCTCATCATCCTCATTCATCCTCATCACGATCGCCCTGCTGAACTCAGGTAGATGGCCTGGTGATCAAGAAGACCTACGGGTTCTGGACGTGGCAGGTGTTCGGCTTCATCTTCGTGCAGCACTTCGTGAGGAACCTCATCCGCAAGGTAAGCGTAAGCCTGATGCTTTCTCTAGTGCTGCATGTCGTGCGCTTTTAGCGTGATTTGTTGGCTCCATTGCCATGGTTTTCACCGTATGTACATGAGTGCCGCGGTCGTGTATGCTCCAAACCTGGGGACGATTCTACCGTAGATTTGTAGCTCGATACAGTGTGAGGAACTCATGATGTTCTTGAAAATGTCCTTGAAGCGAGGAGTCTCCTTAATGTGATGTGTCCTAGAGGCGATGAACGACTGCTGTGCCTACAACAAGGGAGCCGGTTTGTGGAGTGCCGGTTATGTCTATCTCCCTTTCCGAGACGCTTACGGTGGTTTGGTTAGGACATTCATTCCACGGAGAGAGAAGTACTGACATGCATACGAGTTTTTTGAATCCATGTCTTTATCTTAAGTACACTTGAAGACGGGGAGAAAAAAATGAAGAAGCAGCTGGATTGCCTTTTGCTGGACGATCCCATGTTGATGTCGTCTGTTTCTACCTTGTATCAGTCTAGGGCCAATCAGAAGCCTTGCATCGGGCCTGTTTTTTCAAATTCGACCGTTTGTCTACACGGTTCAAATGCCTAATACTCCAACTCAAAAATACACAATGTATTGTTGACATTTATTGTCCGTCAGATGGTCGGCTCCAAAAGTACGCCCAACCCTCTGCTGGCACTAAAGCTCTCCTGGTACCATATATTTTTTCGGAATGTTCGCTCCTGCCTGATGTGGCCTTTTGTCTTGCTGGAATGTCGACATATGGCTCCTCCCTCATCTTATCTGATCTTGGCCCATCCTGAAATATGGACGTGTGGACGTGTGGGGGGCAGGGGGGCAGTCTCAAGAAGACCTCCATGTCGGAGTTGAACTGGGACCACATCGTGACGGAGCCGGAGCACCTGCTGGAGCTGAAGGCTTACTGCTGCGAGGAGTGCGGGTATACCCTCTTCCCAGCCCGAGGTATCTATGTCTCTTTCTTTCTACTGCTATCTATCAATCGATCTATCTACTATCTATCTAGCCTATCTGTCTATCTTGATATCCAGCTATCTACTTGGGTACCTATCTATCTTTGTTCATATGTGCAGTAAGGGGCCTAGTATTCGGCCGCCTAGTGCCGCAGGATTTTACCGACCTTACATCGTCAACCCGGCTTACCACTAGCTTGTTGCCCGCTGCTATGTGTTGGCC